TAGTATTTTTGCAAATAAACGACCCTAATAATTAGTGTATTTTTTTATTAAATTTGAGAAGGCAAATAAATCATTTGAAAACTGATTTCACCTAAAAAGCTGGCAAACAGAAATAAGCGAGAGAAAGAAGCCCATCAGTCAGTGAAATGGGACTCAGCCCATTTAAGAAATTTTTTTTTTCTTTATATTTTGTTGGCTATTTTCAGTGAAAATGCAAAGTGCAGCCATCTTAATACAAAACTTTTGTTTTTATATATATAGAAAGAAATTAATGCTGATATTTGATCGATTTCTTATTTACGACATATCATAGGCTTCATATATATGTTTGGTTTTAAAGTAGATTGTTCTTTTTGGTACTATCACAAGTAGAAGGACTTTTATGCATAAAAAAAAAATGAACAAAATTTGTCTTGCCTTGCGTAATTTATCAGAACTGCAATTTTTTTTGTTTCTTAACACTTGTCTTTAAGGTAGTTATCTTTTTCTATGGCTTAAAGATAAATGATATTTTATTTACAAGTATTTTGTATGTTTTATTTTTTTAAATATATAAGAGCAGAATAAATAATTGCGAGAAACAAACAACAAAGTGTCACGGTTCATTGTTTTCATTTTTGGATATGTTTTTTTTTTTTTTTGGAATATGATTATAGTAATATTTATTTTTCATATAGTCTACACCCAATTTATTAATCATTATTACGAGCTCTATTTTTCTTCAACCATTTCTTTTTTAGATAAAGATATTTCAACAATTATTATAAGTACGTTATTCAATAGCATATTATTACTTTAAATTGTTAAATTATATTAAAAAATATTGTTAAATGTAACTGCTTTTTTTGTATTTTCAAGTTTGGAAGAACAACTACAATTTCATTCATCAACATCTTGTAGCTGTATATGAAATAAAAATTTGTAGCAATGAAAATTTTATTAGTTACTGTTTGTAACTTCTGTAAGAGAAATTTGTTTCTTTTATTTCTTATTGTTTTAAAAATGTTTTGAACTCTTCTCAAAAAGATATATAATTTGTTTCAGGAATTGGGCATATATAATATATAGCCTATAATTCAGTGTGAGTTCATGATTCAAGGAATATTTATTGTTTGAAATATTGAATTTATCAAAAGTTAAAACGAGGGAATATGATATGTTTTAAAACTCCCCAAAAAGCTTCCTCTTTTTATGAGTTTTTGTTTGTTCTATTATATTATGAAGTTACAAATGGATCTCTATGTTGGTACGAAGTTACGAACAAATATTTTTTGTCGGCTGGCTGTTTTTTTCCCTTATTCCCTCGA